CCACAACCACCACAACCACCACCAAGACAGGCGTCATCATCGTTGTCATCATCTTCTTCATCATCATTATTGTTCGATTGCGGGAAGCTGAGTGGCCCAAAGCAGTGGGCTTGTGGCATGCCAGCTGTTAATAGCTAGTGACAGAAACCAAAGTTCCGCAGAGGGACTGACAAAGCAAAGGACGCAGCGCTAAGGCGCTAAGGTAAGCAAACACTCAAGCATCATCTCTCTGAAAACCTATGTGGCAACACGATATGTGCACAGCCCAGAGTGCAGCTTGCAAGCAATCTGCATGGGGACTCTATCGGCCAGAGAAGACCTGTGAGTGAATGATCCACGTTGTCTGCGTCTGCACCCCCCCTCTCCAAACCTCGGCAAGACACTGTTGTGCTGCAGCCGGGCTCGCTCAGCATTGAGCCGGGGCAACTGTAGAAAGTGAAAAAAACCACCCGTTAAACGGCAATGTGCGTGCCCGTCCACAAATGGCAGGGCCTGCTTCCAGCGCTTCCACACTGGGTAGCTACCGGTAGCTAGCTCCGAGCTTCGGTCAAACTTGAAGGCATGCTCCAAAACTCAGCTATGCATAAAGGCATTTTTGACGGAGGAAAGAAGATCCGCCGGGTGTTAAAACAAAAAAAGGTTTTCTGCGGCTTGCTCAGGAGCAGTTTAAGCTTGGCAGCCCAGCTGCACAATCAAACAGGTCTAGGGTCGTCAGCTCTTTGTGCCTCTCCTTTGCAGGCCACGCAGCCGCCAAAGGCTTGCACTGTTGTGTCTGGTGAAGAGGAGCTGGTGTGGCTAGATCTTGCTAGCAGGCCCGAGAATCTCAACAAGAATACGCAACGCCGCATCCAGCATACTTCCCATCCCCAGCAGTCGTCAATATCACAAGGCAAAACAAAGACGGAGGAGGCAAACATTGGAGGGAAAGGGGAAAGAGGAAGGCACGCATAAAGAAAAGCTGAACCCTCCCTCATCAGTGCAAGACTGAACTCACGCTGGGCTTAGCACCAGAAAGTGACGGAAGGCAGCCGCTTTGCCCTTGTGCCATTGTCACATGTGCCCCCGAGGCTCCCACAGGTGGCCAGCGCTGCGTCCGGGAACTTTGCAAGGCTTGCTCTTTGGGCGTGGCCTGCAGGTCAGCCATTTCCATAACAGGAGAAATGTCGTCATTTCATCCTGCCACATGCCACTGGGTCTCCGGCAGAAGCAAGTGCACCATGTGTTCGCTTTGGACGCCAGTCAGGATCCTGCATGTCCTCTTCTACCTGCAGGTAGCGGCACAGGTATCAATCCTCAGGTAGTGGACTACAGAGGCAGGTTGCACTTTGCTAACCTGTGCTCCAACAGCTGAGGCAGCTACATTGGCAACTGTTACGGGGTACGCCATGGGTCGCGATGGCGGCGCCATGTCGAGTTTGGACAGCGAGTCCTGCAAAATGACAGCAGCGCAAGCATGCCCAATGCGAGTGAAGCTCTTTCAACGTGTCAATGATATCCTTCGAATGCAAGCTTCCGCTCTGGCTCGTATGATCAGAGCGTGGAGGGAATTCCAAGCTCATCTGCAGGCAGTCAACTGCCTCAGTGGTGCATGTTGGGAGATGTGCTCGAGTTGATTCAGCTTTCAATTCGCACGGGCCGATACATTAAAATACGGATCTAGAGTTTAAGATTCTAGATGAGAGGCGGTCTGGCTCTCGACCTGCCTTCGGGCTCAAAATTCAATTCCTTGCAATTGGTTCCAACCAGGCTTGTCAATCATAAGTCTGCCCTTCCAAGTTTGCAACCCTGAATTTGGGAGGTCTGTCGGTGTTCGGCTATGTGTAGCCTTGAGGGCCCACGGTCACTGAGTTTGGAAGGAAGCTAATTACCGTCCAGAGACACGACAGAAGACTGGACGTGACCACGAAGCACCAAGCCACTGGCATTTGTTTCTTGCAGCAGCGCTTTTCCCTGGTCAGGCCTGGTGCATGAACAGTACTCTTTCAGAAGAAGCTGACTGGTTTTTGGCGGCAGGTTCTAGAATCCCGTTTTGCTTTTCAAATCACGCACTACAGCACCACAGACTGAGGCACGCCAAGTCGTCTCAGGCTCCGACGCTGGCGGCGCAGAAGTTGGCAGGAACTGGTGCTTGGAGTGTTCGGCCAAGACAGTCGGATCCTCCACGGATTCACCATGGATGCTGAATCTCACACCCCAGCAGATTAGGTGCAAAATTAGCACACGCACTCCACCAGCCCGCGATAGATCCACAAGGCCCTCAGAAGGGAGAATGAGGCAACAAGACCTGGACTGCAACAGCAACAGGGCAGCAGTTTATGAACGGCGGCAGGCTGACAGAAGTTCTTGTTCCTACCTGCATGTAACCCACACCGTCCTGACGTCGGCCAACATGTAGTCGCTTGTGGCTCACTGGGACAGACCCCTTGCCCGTGGACGTGGTCTTCTGCGGAGGCGTCGCTTCGGGGGTCGCCGGTGGTTCTGGGGCTGGAAAGGCCGGTTTGCTCTTCTCCGTGGCATCACTCGCAAAAGTCACTGCAAGGTTGTGCCCAGAGCCGGGGAAGCGAGCTTCTAAAGCTGTGTGGTGATCAACATGCACAAGTCCACGATAATCAGACCTCTTTGTGATGTCGGTTATCAGCTTTTGCTGTGTGGGTTGCGCCAGCTGATCTGTCCTTGGCGAGCAAGCGCTTGACGTGCGACAAGGATGATGTGGCCTTGGAACCTGCCCAGCCAGCTCCATGAGCATGGCATTGTAGGTCATTCGATGCTCAAAATCTGCTTGCGTCTCTGCTCTCCTCGCAAGCTCCATGTGTTTCCAGGCCAGCCTCCATGTTTCTTCAGTCTGAATCCGTTTTGTGATGGCCCGAATAGCTTCCCTGTCCCCATGCAAGACAGTCGGCGTTAGCACCTTCTTTAATTCCTTCATTGGCATGCTATCTAAGTTTGCCGACATTGTCTGATGGTACTTGTGATACTCTCCTCTGGCTCGCCTGTGAGGGGCCCACTGTGATGCCATTTCCTTCTGCTCATTCTCAATCTTGCGGCTGTAGAAGCGATCCAAGGTCTGCACTCGAACGGTGTTGACAAAGGCCTTCTTGGCTTCCCACTGAGCATGCTGTGCCTCAATCCGATCCATGCGCTCCATCAGATCTGCATCCGTGCGCAGCTTTGGTCCGTGATAACTCCTCCAGGTCCTCGGCCCTGCGTGGGTGGGATTGTTCCACTGGTTCTCCCCAGGCCGAGATGCATAGAAGGTCTGGTTCTTGAGTAGGTGACCTGCTCTGGATCGCCATCCAAGGCCACCAACGTCAGGGACTCCGTTCTCCAGTCTGTACTTGATCATTCCTCGTCGATTCCGTTCCTCGCGTCGGTCAGGGAACTCGAGCGTGCCTTGCGGCCGCAAGGTTTCCATGGCTTCCAGCTCTGCCGGCTCTGTGTTCTGCTCGGTCGGCTCTGGCTCTGGAGGCTCCGGATCTAAGCCAGTCTGAGGGTCATTTGCGGCATCAGACGCCATGCCAGGGACCTTTGGCCAAGCTCTAGGGGCTTCTGGAAAAAAATACTGAGTCAGCTACTGGAGCCCCAGGTGCTGCAAGAAGCTGTCGCAGTGTGGGTCTGAAACATGGTCCATCCTGCGTAGTTGCACGACAGCTGCAGGCAAAAACATGCATGGATGCTCTGGACTTTTCGGGTGGTAAGGGAGTCTTTGTGCGCTCCGAGGCAGAAATGTGTGCAAGCTGCTCAGCTTATGAAACAGATGAACCGTCTTGAAACTGGCAAAAACGAGCCATCTCTGCCCCTAAGTTCCTATGACGGAATCATTGGTCCCAGTCTGGAAAAACGGCGCCTCAAGCTGTGACAATGAGTCCATCGCACTGCGTTGAACTCGGTCAAGAGGACCTCGCAAAATGTGAAGCATTTCAAATCCAAGTCTGCTGAGGCCGGAGGCCTGGGGCGCACAAATCTGAGGACCTTGACAAGGAGTAGTTCCCCACCCTCTTAACACCCCGATGAACCTTCCATCACCTCCCCAGAATGGGTTTGTTCTGTGTTTCGTAATTTTGAAGGTTTGGATTGGGGGTGCAGCTCGACTGCTTGCTGGTGCTTTGGCCCCTCAGATTCTGGAGCTGGCCCCATCATAGCAATTCAGCGATTTCGGCTCCCCTTACCCCACCCACCCCCAAACCCGCCCCTCTTCGCTCCCTTCTTCCCCTCACGCCTTCCCTTCCTGTGATTTTGCTTCTCAAGTCCCACCGGCCGTGCCTTCCACTCACACAGCTGCTGGCTCCACCCATGGCGTCTAATTCGCTCGAAAACAACGCGGACAAAAGCTAGAAGTCTCGCCAGCCATCCTCTTCCGGGGCTGCAAGCTTAATCGCTTGCCCTGATATTGAAACGCATCCCTCCGGTCGTGCCGCCTAATAACGGATCGCCACTGATCCGGAACATTGATTGACAGGACCTGTGTGGAAACCTTTTCTTTATGAAGGCTTTCACTGTCTCTAGCAAATCACGGATCCCAAGTTCCAGCTGGGATTGCTGGTTGTATGGAAGCCTTCTGCATTAGGTAAACAAGGAGATCCCTAAATCCAGAGGTAAAAAATTCAGAAGCCCTGAATTCCAGTTGGATTTTGCTTGCCGCGTCTTCCAACTTCCAATCTTGGAAGTCTGGAAAACCCTGATCACGTATGATTCCGCATGGGGACCATTACTCCGTTTGAACACCTCATGCAATACGGTAATGTCCTCCAAGTGGATCACTTTTGGAAATCGTTTCCTTCCAACGGAGTTCCAGAATGTATCTGCCTAGATTCCACCAGGACGAACTGAGAAAAAAAAAATAACGCCTAAATGAGCTTGACAACGTGTCACAATAAGCCTAAGGAGTCCACAAGTGAGAAGGTGGGCCCTCAGGTTCGGCGGGCAGTATGGCGGCATCTCCCCACCACCAGCATCTGAAAGTCTTCTGCAAGAACAGCCCAAGAACCAAGAAGTGGTAAACAGAAGCGCCCACAAGCGGCTCCAGAACTGGAATTGCTTCCCCTGATCGTGAAATGCACCCCTTCTCAGCTCCACGCCTAGTATTGAATGATGACTGGTCTGACAACTGATGTAAGAGAAGGACGTATCGTGTAAAGAGGCCTATCCGATTTCTTTGAATGCAGACAGTATATCATTGGGAAATCAAGGAGATCCCTAAATTCAGCTAGGCATTTCTAATGATCTCCTACAAAAGTCTGGGCAAATACGCATATCGCAAATATACGACAGAACAAAAGAAGCGTGTAAATATCTTCCTGGGCAGGAAGCCATGAAATGCAGATAAAGAGCAGAACGTCCAGGCAACCCCTGATAGACTTTCAGGTTTCTTTAACTCCTTGTCCTTAGCTGTCTTTAAAACTTTAGGACCACCCGAAAAGTTAAACTTTTAGCCTCCTTAATATAGAAAGTAGGAAGCCCAAAAAGTTAAAGTCCTAACAGCCACGCAGAAAACAGCCAAGTGTCTATCTAACACGTCCACCAAACCCATGCAGTTTGTTGGAAATCCAGGAAACCCTGCAAAAGTACGATTCCACAAAATGAGCCCTTACTCCTTTGCAACACCAACCTAATCCCTTTTTCAGGGTTCATATCCGCCGAATCAATTGCCCCTTTCTTCGCAATTCCAGAATTTCATCCAAGTCTGCGTGAGGGCCTAAGTTGGGGATGAGGGTGGGTCTCAAGGTCGGGAGGGAACCCGCCAACCAAAATCGGACATCGTCGCTGTGTTAGGTCATCGTGGTTCGCCCGGTACAGTACATCAAGCATTCAGATGCCGTCCCCATCCCCCCCGCAAGTCTTTGAATCTCCGGTATATCAGACCAGGTGGTCCCAAAAGTTGCACAGGGCCCAGGAGGCTACGGTAGTAAACAAGAACTCTCGCAAGTTTCAAGTAGCTAGCTTTCGTGACTAGACACATTTCTCGCTCCTAGTTGCTGAGTTCTGCTTGCTCGACCCTTCTGCCTTTCAATTCAACCCGCAGAAGGCTAAGATTGTGCCTCTGCGGCCTCTCCTCCAATCGGACAGAACTGCCTTATAGAACGCACGAAACCACTCAAAGCCATCCAGTAAAGCCAGCTCTATCCCGTTTGGAAGCCCTGCTTGCTCTTGGTCTTCAGCCTCGCATGACTTCTGCTTCGCTCCGCTGTCGAGCCGCCCCTTCGCCCACGAAGCGGCACTTGCGGTGGCGATTACAGTGTACCCTCGCATCCTGCACTGCAGCACCCCCATCTAAACCACGTGAAAGAAGGAGCCATGAAGGGAGTCCAGAGGGAGCCGTGGAACAATGCGGCCAACCATCCAAACCACACAGATCGAGGGAGCCATGATGAGCCGTGAAAAAAACCGAGATGGAGCCATAGATCTTGCGCCTCGGCCTCAGATATGGGCACTATGGTGAGAGCTAAGAGGGAGCTGTGGATCTTGCGCCACGACCCTCCGCATCCCTGCCATCCAATCAAAACAAGAATGGTAGGAGCCAAGGGAAGCCGTGGAGGACCCCAAACCGTTTCTGTTTGCAGAAAATTCTATCCTGCAGGAGCTCTAAAATGTGAGCACAGCGTTACTCCTCATGTGACACGCAAGTAGCAGACACCAGACTGATATCTCGAAAGCGCTTGCAGCCCACAGGCTCCAGCTTCTTATCACTCCGAATCTTCTTGCAAGGACCTGGAATCAATGGTTTGCAATGTCTGGACAAGACCTTGCATGCTGGCTCCTGCCATCGGGCCTTCTGAATGCGGGTCAGAGTCATCACTGCTTCCATCCTTGCACTTGCTACCAAAGTCTTGCTCGATGTTGGGAAGTGTCGGATGTGGCGAATGTCCTGAAGCTCCTCTCTTCTGCGGCGTCGCTCGCCGCGTTCCTCTTGTGCCTTATCATCCAAGCAAGATGCGGTAATCCTTGTTTTGGCAGACCAGGCTCCGGCCCACAGGTCCTGGCAGTAGCTATCCTCACCTCGGTTAGGTCAAGCCTGACTAACACGCTCTCAATTCAGAGGGTAAGAAGACGGCACTCACGCATTATGCGCCGGCATTCTTCAAGACCTGGGCCATGAGTGGTGCAGACATCTTGCAATCATGCAGGCGTAGTCACATTTGGCAACCAGCGTTGCGACAGGCGATGGTTTAGCCCAGCATCCCGCAAGGACGCCTGCAGCCTTCCGCAATGGAGCATGTTGTAGCTCGCTTTGCATCCTTCCTGCTGCGCATAGCATAGCCCTAGCTTAGGCTTGGACGAATCAACCACGTCTTCGTACAGCTCATCCAAATCATCATCCTGCTGAGAGCTTTCTACTGCTTTCAGTCTATGATGAGCTGCGACTGGTCAAGCTTTGAGACCAAGTGCGTCAGGGGTGCATCCATCCAGCAGTTGCGCCAGTGAGCGATCTTCGTGTTCGATTGCACAAGAAGCTTCATGGCCTCTGCACAGCCCAGTTCACTGTCTTCAAGCTACTAGACTGCTGCTCACAAGCAGCAAGCCCTCAGGTTCATGACCTTCACCGGAACTCCCAAAATTAGACACTGCCAGTGGGGCATTCAGATGCCGAAGTTTTATCTTGCACCAAGCACTGAGGAATGCATCCCAGCCCGAACGTTGTTGCCTCTTTGTTGGCTGGCACAAACGACCTGAGCCACATGCCATGAAAGTTGCCTCCTGTTTTGCCTGCCGCAAAATAAATGAACCATTGCGAATTACCGGCCTGAACCTTTGCTTAAGTTGCGTGTGGGTCAGACCAACCAAAAGCGCCGCCTAATCCAATGTGCTGCCAGCCCGGAAGCCGGGGTGGACGCGCGGTGGCGCTACAAAATTACTTCCATGATCCTTTACATCACGTTGCCATCAGGATCCATCGCCCACCTTTTCGCTTCACTCGCGCTCTTGTGCTCGCATGCGCGGTAGCACACTTCTGGTGTTCTCCGTCTTGGCCGCAGGCCTCAGGCACAGCACTTCGGGAAGACTGAAACATGAAGTCGGACCAATGGCTACACTGAAAGGCGCAGGTCACAACATGACCTCTGCTACAAGGCCTTGCAAAGTTCCGGACCGAAATTCATATCTTGAGCCTATCTTCACCCGAAGCCAGGCTTACTTTGCCGAAATCCAGCTTTAAGGCACACACGGGCAAAATTCAACAAGACTTGGGGCTGGAACAAGGAACGGCTCAGATGTTCGGTCGTGCGGGATGTGTGGGAGAGGTCAGCTTGCGTCTTGCAAGTGCTCTGTAAACTCCCCTACCACATCTCTCAGAGATTGTGGCGGGTTCTTGCAGGTCCAGACCTGCGCAAAGCCTTCAGCTTTGCAAAGGCACCCCTGCCCAAACACTCACAAACCACCCTAAAACCTGTGCTGGCGTCGATCCACGGAGCTGGATCTCACGCTGTACTGCATGGCCGGACTCCTGCCAGCCAATGAACGTCACCCTGTTTAGAGCGCATGGTACGCAAGACGCAAGGCATGCCCATGGCATATCACATC